CAGGAGGGACTTTACCCAGGAAAAGGGCAAGGAAAGGTCCTGGGAGCTGAGCTGGATGGATAAGAGGGCGACAAAAGATGAGCGTTGGGCAGAGCCAAACCTTTCTCTCTGCTGGTCCACCAGATGATGTTCCCCATGTACCTGGGACAGCCGGTGCCCCCCGAGATGTTGGCGTCCACAATGGCTGAACTGGACAGGTGCCTGCAGATGCTGGAGGACAAGTTCTTGCGGGATCAGGCCTTCCTTACCGGACCCCACATCTCTGTGGCTGACTTGATGGCCATCACGGAGCTGATGCATGTGAGTGCCGTGGAGTGGGGGGGCAGGGGGCGACCTGGTGAATGAGGGTGGGTCCTGGGAGGGAGCTCTCGCTCATGCCGGCTCTCTGGCTGTGGGGCCCTGCATAAGTCACTTCTCCCTCTGAGCCTTGATCGTCTTCATCCAGAAAGTGAATTTTTAAAGTGTTTGATTAGCATATATTTTACTGCGCATAACAATGGAGTCTCGTGACGACACTTTCAGACGTGTACATAATATATTTGGATCACATTCACTCCTCGGCCATCTCTGTCCTCCTCCTGCTGATCTGTCTCTCACTAGCTTCCATTTTACTATCATGTTGGGGTTTGTGTGTGTGTGTGTGTGTGTGTGTGTGTGTGTGTGTGTGTGACAGTGAATTTCATCCAGGTGGCTTACAGGTGGATGGGTGAGGATTTGTTTACAAAGCATGGGCACCTTACCAGTGGCCACTGAAGAAAATGTCTCCCTCTCCCAACAACCATTATCCTCAGAGAGGGGTGAGACCCCAGGTGTCCATCATCGCTCCATGACAGGATGCTAATGGGCCCATATGCAAATGTTATGCTAATTCATTCCTGGAAGTCAGTGATCTATGTGACTCCTTTCCTGTTTCTTCAGTCTCTCATCTTCTTCCCCAGTGTTTCCTAAGCCTTGGGAGGCGTGAGATGAAATGCCTGATTTATGACTGAGCTTTTGACCATCACTGATTCTTAGCATTAACCAGTAAATCCTTAGAAATTCTTTCTTGGAGGCATTGAGAGGGGCCTCGCACATGGTGGAGGAGGGACGATGTAGTGGGGGGCGGGGGACGACGACACCGAAACCGGCCATGCTGCCTTGTAGATGGTGGACCTTAGCCCCTCTCCTTGGCTTCTGCTCCCTGCAGCCCGTGAGTGCTGGCTGCAAAATCTTCGAGAGCCGACCCAAACTGGCGGCATGGCATCAGCGTGTGGAAGCCGCAGTGGGGGAGAACCTCTTCCAGGAGGCCCATGCGGTTATCCTGAAGGCCAAGGATATGCCTCCGTTGAAGGACCCCACCTTGAAGGAGAAACTGAAGCTCTCGGTGCAGTATTTGTTTCGCTGAGGGAGGAGCACGAACCCATGGCACCGTCAAGGGAAACGTCAAGGGTTATGCAAGTGAAGAGATGAGGCAGAATGTCTCTTTGGCTGCCACCGGGATATGAAGTCTCTGGCCCACAGTTTCCTTTAGACAGGGATGTGTTCCTTCTGTGTCCCCAACCCACTTTGTGCTGTGACATTAGCTTTTACCTGACCTCTGGAGGGAGCTACAGGGAAACACTGGGGAACTACTTACCAGGCCATGCTCCTCTTTTGAAACTTTACAAACCATTGAATGTGCAACCTTGCCCCACCCTCCAAGCCATACCTTTCTGACTGCATTCATTTTAGGCCCTCTCCTGCTCTCACATGGACACACACATGCTGCCCCCATCCCCATCCCTGCCCTCCCTGTGCCCGTGTTCTTTGCCTAGTGCCCTTCCTGTATTTTTTGACATTTGGCACCATGTGACCCCGCTGGGCTCCTCATTCCCTGTCCTTCCCTTCCTCAGTTTTAGCAGGCAGGATCTCTGACCCCTGGGTTGAGCACATGTCACAGATGGAGAGTGTCTAGGGAAAGGCCTTTGTCCTCTGGGTCTTTCTCTTCCCTCTGGGGTGATCCTGCCTGCCATAGACGGGGTGCAGGCCTGGTTCATGATGTTCCTTGCAGGGGTGGAAGTTTCTGGCAATGTCCTGACTTTCCACATGCGGCCAAGCAGTGTTGCTTGCTCCAAGTCTTCTAACGCTGACTGCTGTCTTCTGTGTGTCTCCAGCTCCAAATTGTCAAGCTACTTAATCTTGTGCCGTAGGGCCTCTGGCATGTGCATTACCTAATAAATAAATTGCTAACAGAACAAGTGATAGTCGAGTCTCTCTGCTCATTGGTTTCCGTTTCCTTTAGTATGCACACTTAGATCGCCTTTTTTGTTTTTTGGGGTTTTGGTTTTTTTTTTCAAGACAGGGTTTCTCTGCATAGCCCTGGCTGTCCTGGAACTCCCTCTATAGGCCAGGCTGGCCTCGAACTCACAGAGATCCGATGCCTCTGCCTCCTTGGTGCTGGGATTAAAGGCGTGCGCCACCACCGCCCAGCTCAGATTGCTTTGTTTTAAATGGCTTTGCTACCCTCTGGTGGACAATGGTTCATCACTCACAGAAGAGGCTACAAAGTCATAGGGACCAGGGAGAGATGCCATTGCCCTAGGGTCCTGCCCAGGCACACCTCATCCACAGGTGGTACTGTTGTGCCCAGGTCTCAAAGCCCCCAAGCAAGACCACCACAGAGCCAATATCCGATGCAAGTACACAAACAAAACAGCACGCTTGGCCCAACATCCACCATCCGACACAGCGGGTGGAGGAGAACGGCCCCGAGCACTCGCTTGAAGGGGTTTGTATAGGAAAAGTTTACATGCAGCTTGGGATTGGATGAGGGGGATAGGGGTGAGGCAGTTCTTTGAAGTTACTGACTGAACAATAAGCATGAGGTTACTGATGGCTAACAAGATTCAGGGCATCTACAGAGACATACATATTTTACTCCCAATGTCCTGCTTTTGTTGAACCCAGGATATATACATTCAGATTTGTTGTCCCAGTCCTACTCTCCTCTGAGGGCAGTTGAGCCCATTGCTCCCCATATTTTGTTTTGCCAAGTCCAGGATACATAGATTTATTGTCTCAGCCCTATAAGTTGAACTTCTGGTCACTTCTAAAACTGCTGGTCAGCAAATACCTTTGGAGGAGGGGAGGGGGAAGCCTCTCTCAAGACGGCTGCTGATTTTTCCCTTTCAATCCCTGGTTTCTTTTGATTGTTCAAAAGAAGTGTGGTTCCCATATTGAATTTGAAATTATCACCATCACTCAAGTAACTTTAAGCCAGCCTGGCAGTGTGAAGTGCCCTATAGAAACGTATACGTCGAGGGTGTTTAGCTGAGGTTGAAACAGCGCCCCCTGCTGGCCTGGGAGGGCCAGAGGCCCTGAAGCTACGACTTCGGTAATTTGGAGCCAGCGCGCATGATTGCAGAAGAGGAGTAGCCCTGGTAGCCAATCCAGGAGCGCCGTCGCTACCTGGCCAATGAGAAGCTTAGCTGTGGCCCTCCCCGCCCCCCAATGACCCGCCCCGCGCCCCCTTGCTGGAACCCCAGCGGCTCTCGGTGCAGTTGCTGTTTTGAGATCCCTCTCGCCGCCCAACATGCCATTCATAGAGTTGGAAACGAACTTGCCCGCTAGCCGCATACCTGCCGGGCTAGAGAAGCGGCTGTGTGCAGCGACCGCCACCATCCTGGACAAACCCGAAGACGTGAGCTAGGGTCGGGGAGCCCTGGGTGCGCGGAGGTAGTGGGCTGGGGGGGGGGGCAGACCTCCCCATGACCCTTACTATTATCCCCAGAGACCCCACCCGCCTGCTGACTTCTGACCTTCCGTGTCCCATCCGCCCTCCCCAGGTACCTTCCTGGTCACCCTTTCCAGGCGTGACCCTGGCGTGACTGACTTCCAAGGTTTACTAGCCAGTGCCCCAAACCCTCATCCTTCAGACCCCCCCACGTTAAGACTTCGGCGCGCCCGCTCCCGGAGGCCAGCCTGGCCTGCCCAAGATTCAGGATTTAACTTTTGTGTTTCCTGCAGCGCGTGAGTGTTACGTTAAAGCCTGGCATGACCTTATTGATGAACGGATCCACAGAGCCCTGCGTCCAGCTTCTGGTCTCTTCCATCGGTGTTGTGGGTACTGCAGAGCAGAACCGCAACCATAGCTCCGGCTTCTTCGAGTTCCTCACCAAGGAGCTGGCCCTGGACCAGGACAGGTATGTAAGGCTAGTCAGGGAACTTAATTTGGGACTGCTGTGCCTCCAGAGCAGAGATCCTGACTCCGGGTCCGCTGTATGAGGTTGGGAGTAAAATATATTATTTGCTGGTTTTAGAAAGCACCCCGGGACCTAGTGCAAGGAGATGCATCTGCTCAGTTAGGCACTGGAACGGTGGGTCTGTGATCAGAATGGTGGCAAGATTTTGATTCTTTTGAAGATCTGCAGCCATCCCTGTAAGCCCCGAGTAAGGATGGCTTGGGAAACCCCGTGTGTGTGTGTGTGTGTGTGTGTGTGTGTGTGTGTGTGTGTGTGTGTGTGTTTACTGAGTATTTGCTTATCTCAGAACTACTGCGATGATTGCCTCTGCTCTGTCTCTGAATTAGGATGTTTTCAGGGAGAACCCTTCCAGAGGGAATCTGGTTATGTCCTGAGGCAAAGACCTTTGGACTAGATAAGGCTCCAGGAGAGTCATGGGGTAGCCAAAAGACCATTGGCCCAGATAGCTAACTAAACACCTTGATTTGAGGGCTACCACAGCTGAAAGATCCCAGGTAAACCTGGACACAAACTATTTCCAATATGTAACCTTCTCTTCCATAAAAGTAGTGAGTGGGTCAGGCTAAATGACCTCCCTTCCTCACAAGAAGGTCCCCCCCCCAAAAAAAAAAAACCCTTACACTCTGAGGCAGCGTTAGAGTCTCATATTCCTGGGCCTACTCCATGCCTGTGAGGACCTAAGGGGATCATTTTGAAAGAACCTTCCAGAATAGGGTACTTTTTGGCTCAGGAAAGTTGGTAATGGCTGGTTGTGGTGGCTGCTCAAATTCCGTCCTTAAGTCTAGGAGACACACTACTTTTTAGCAGTACCATTCTCCTGCTCAGCATGGGTCAGGATCTCTATACCCATTATCCCATTTGATCCTTACAAGTGCTTTCCAGGGTCTTCGTGGACAGATTTGGTATCTTCTTGAGGTAGATAACTGTATTAGACCAACTTTACAGATGGGAACCTAAGGCTTCAGCCCTTCAGCACGGCTCCCCTGGTGCCAGACTGTTACTAGGCACTTCTTTTTATCTCTGTGATTGATGAACCATTTATTCCACAGATTTGAATCACGGTTGACCTTTGCCTGGCTTTGAGCTGGGCTTTGATTAAAAACTAAATGGCCTGAGCACTGGGCATGCCCACAGGAGCCTGCAGTTAGAAATAGGAGGACCATATCCAGCCTGACATATGCAAGTGTGCACAGAATATACTTAACGTATGCGTACCATCGTGTTATGTCTGTCCTGGGCCTATGCATAGCCATCATCTTGCACCTGACTGTGTTGGTGCAAAGATCATTAACTGGGGTGGGCGGACTGGCACAATACCCTGCGGGCTGATATGGGCTGGCCTGGCATCTTACCTGGGCATGCCTAGGGACCTTGGCAGATGAGGAGTTTGCCAAGGAGCTGACATCTCTTTTTCTGCTCCCTAAAGGATAATTATCCGCTTCTTCCCATTGGAGCCCTGGCAGATTGGAAAGAAAGGGACTGTCATGACGTTTCTGTGATTGGAACAAAGAATCCAGGGCATCTGCTGAGCCTGTCCAGAGACCTTCTAGAGAGACCTCCGGACAGAGTTGTGGCCTGGTAGTTACCACTGCCAAATGCTTCCTGTGCGTATATGGCTTCACTGTCTGTAGTTTCACTCCCCCCCACTTCCCCAGCCTCCCTCATGAATAAATATGAAATTAAATAAATGAAGAGGACATAATCCCAACATGACTTCTTTGCTTCTGTATTCGCCTCGTTGGCGTCCTGGACACTCAGGAAAATGTGATTTGTTCATGAGGGCAAAGGATGGGGTGTTATCTGTTCATGGGGCTGCTGTTTGAATTTTGCTGAAATCGGGGGTGGAGGGTTTGGCCTGGAAGGCCTGCTTTCTACACTCCTGTGCAGACCATTGGGGACATGAGAACATCTGGTTTGGCCTGGTGTAAAGAGGATCTTTACCTTGGCCTGGGCTATCGCTGTTGACTGCTGAGCTGGGCCTGGAGAATGAGGCTGGCTGCAATCCAAGGACCATCCCTGGGGCTTCATTGTGTACCCTGACTCTTAACTCACTGGATACTGTGCACTTTGCAGAAACCATGCCCAGTGTGGGAACTGTCATATCTGCTGGCATGCCAAGTATGGAGATGTGATTCCTTCCACTAGAAACGGAGCAGCTGCTATTTCCACTCCCCTTCTATGTGGCTTTGTATTTCAGACTCCACAGGTGGGATGAGGAGGCCAAAGGATGTCTCCATCTCTTCCTTTCCCCGTGTTGTATGCAGAGCTTACAGCTTATAACCCACAGACACCCCTGCACAGTTAGATGGTTGGTCATCCTCATCTTTAGACACCGATAAAACATCACATTAAGTTTTTTATTCTGTAAGCTAATAAAGTTAGTTTCCAGTGGTATTTGCCTAGGCCTCCTGTTGGTAAGTGACCTTGCTGGGGCCTCTCATTCAATGCTCTACCTTGGAGACTCTACCTTGGAGACCCTTTGATCTCCCTTGTATTTTAGCATACTTCCCAGGCTGGGGTGAGGAAGCTACTGACATGTAGTGCAAGATGAGAGCAGCTGGCTGAGTGATCTTAAATATGGTGCTCGCTGTAGGTTTTGTAGAAGTATTGACTATAGATGTGGGGGATAATGGGAGACAAAATCAGCGTGTGTGTGGCTGATGGTGACAGTATTCTTTACTGAGACCATACAATACCTCCACAGCAGAGTCCAATTCACAGAGCATATTCTAACAACTATGTGAATGAGATGCTGTGCTCAGGCTGCACATTGACCAGATGTGAGGTGTGAGCCTCTTTAAGAGGAATGAGAGATTCTAGGAACTCCCAGAGTCTAAGTAGCAGTGCCCTTATGTTACCTAAGAGGATGATCTCACCCCAGGAGGCTGAGGGGGTCATTGGCCTTGCTGTTAGCTCTCTATCCTAGGGGAGCTGGTGGGAATGGACCCAAGTTACTCTTGTTCTTGGAAGCCTTCTCTGAGCTTCTGCCCCCTGAAATTCATGAGGTTTTGTTTCTTTTGTGACACCCTGAGATCAGATGATGGGATGGCCCAGTGCATTGATGTGTGGCCCTTGGCAGGTCACCCAATCTTTCAACCTCACTCCTCCTCTTCATCATAAAGAGAGTGAAAATGCCTCCCTAAATGGCTGGAGAATGACCAAGGTACCAGTACCTTCTCTTCCCACTGCATTTCCCCCAGTATTGACATCCTATCATATCTAAGCCACAGGAGCAAGGAAGGCCCCTGACCACTAATATCCCCAGACCTATAGTCCAAAGCCTTTTGGGTGTCTTCAGAGTTGCTGTACCAGGCCTGCATGGTGGTAATGGTGGGCACAGGCACACCTTCCAGGGAATACTGATTTCTGTTTAAAAAAAAAATCTAGGGCTTTAGAACACTAGGTCCTGAAAAGCCAGAGACTGTCAAATCTAACCACATTGTGTCACAGAACCAAAAACCAAGATAAGGAGCCTTGGCAGAGACTCCCAATGTGCCTGGACCCCTGAGCTCCCAGGAATTATTCCTGTCCCTTGTTGTTGTTGTTGTTATTTTAACATACTCCAGGCTTCCTGGAAATACGTTCGAGGGAGTGAAAAAAAAAAAATAGAAATCACATTTGGCTATAGACATTATTCCTCAAACAGTTATTAGGTGAAAAAAAATTCACTTTAGGAATAAGCAAAGAGACATTTCAATAATGTATGGAAGTGGAAGAATTTACAGAGAACAGACTGCCAATGCAGAATGCTTTAGTTGTGTCTTGTAAGAGTATTGTCCCCTTGTTTGGCTGCTCTAGCTCCTCATTGGCCAGTCTTCAGAGAAATGGCTTAAGACTTTGGGTAAAATGGCCCAGAGAACCTAGTTCCACCCGTTCCTTGGCAAACACCTGGCTGTGAAAGCTGGCAGGGTGAGCTTTCTCTGTACCACTTCAGGGATCGGCACTCATTTTCCTGAGTGTAAAGTTGTCTGAATTTGAGATGGAGGTAACTTATTCAAAACCCTGTGGCATGGCTAATATGGTAGAATCGGGGTATGTGATATGAACCTTTATCTAATCAGGACTTAGGAACTGTGACCTGTTCTCAGAGGCACATGAAGATGGAGGAGAGCCAGCCTAGATGCAGCAGGTGGAAGACTTCTTGACACTGCCAACGTGTTTTAGCATCATGGATAGCAGGTCTTCCTGAAGCCAGCCAGTGCACCTGTGGGTGGGTGTCTGTCTGCTCAGGTGGAGACCGAGCTTCAGCATGTTGGCAGCTAAGCCAGGCACAGAGAGTGTGTGACTCTGAGAACGAGATGGTTAACTTTCTTCTCTCCCTTCTTTTGTGTATGGGTGTTTTACTCCATGTATGTCTGCGTACCATTTGCTTGCCTGGTACCCTCAGAGGTCAGAAGGTGTAGGATTGTGGGGGAAGGGCCTATGGAGCCAGGTGCTAGTAAAACTGGCCCCAAGGGAAAGTGTAGAGGGTGGGACCCAAGTTGTTTACAAAAAAATATGATTGGAGCTTCAGGTCAAGAAAGATGATGTCAGTACATGATTCCCTCATAGACAACACTGTAAATATCGTAGACTAGGTGTGTGGTTGGGTAACCTTTAAGCTGATCGACCGGCCCAATGGGGCATTTGTGCCCTGCCCCCCAGTCTAGTTTTTTTTTTTTAATTAATTTATTTTTTTATGCTTTAAAAGGAGCTTGTTGTTTTTAAATAAATGAGTCCTTGCCTGACTTGGCTCCCTGCTGCATCTGATTGTCTCCCGGGGGAGAAAAGGGAGGCTGGGGAACTGGCAAGCAGCACACTTACTTTTCCTTGGTTCCAGGTCTCCCTTCTCAGGGGACCTAAGTTCCCAGTGGGGCAGGACCCCACATTAGACTCCCTGGGACAGGACTTACAGAAGGCTCAGATCTGCTGTGTGAGTGCTGGGAATTGGACCCCAGTCTTCTGGAAGAATTGCTGAGCTGTGGTGATATTTTATTTGTGCTGAAATGTGGTGATATTTTATTTGTATATTAATAAATAAAGTTTGCCTGGATATCAGAGGAAATAGCAAGCCATTAACACAAGTCAGGCAGTGGTAGTACACACCCTTAATCCAATCACTTGGCAGGCAGGTCTCTGTGTGTTCAAGGACACACTAGGGAACAGCCAAGCATGGTGACACATGCCTTAAATCCCAGTACCAACCATAGAGACCAGGAGGTCTGTACAGACAGGCAGTGACAAGGAAGTGAGGTAGCTGGGCTAAGATCCAATGAGAGGGCAGAACAGCAAGGCAATAAAGGTGCGGGTAGACAGGAAGTACCTCACTTTTAGTAGCTGCAGAGCTGGAGAGGTAAGGTTGGTGGCTCTCACTATTTCCCTGATCTCTAAGGCTTTCACCCCTATATTTGGCTCCATGTTTTTTATTTAATAAGACCATTTAGAAATTTGTCTACACGGAGCCATGTAGATGTAACCAACCGTCTTATTAAATAAGAAACACAGAACCAATGTAAAAGAGAAAGCCGAGAGGTCAGAGCTCAGAGCGAAAATCTTACCTCCTGAAGTGCTCCTACCTCCTGTAGTAGGAGAGCTACTTCCTGTGTGTCTGTCTTTAAATAGTCTTTCTGTTCTGCCTTCTCATTGGTTGTAAACCCAAACACGTGACTGCCTCGTCACTGCCTACAAGTACAGCCCTTCAGGTCTTAAAGGCGTATTTCTCCAATGCTGGCTGTATCCCTGAATACACAGAGATCTACCTAGCTCTTCTACCAAGTGCTGGGATTAAAGGCGTGTGCCACCGTTGCCGCTGCCGCCGCCGCCGCCACCACCACCACCACCACCACCATGATCTTGCTATGGCTCTAATAGCTCTGACCTCCAGGCAACTTTATTAACATACAATGAAAATCACATTTCAGTACAAATAAAATACCACCATAAAGACACCTCTCTGTTAACTTTATTATAACTGGAACAAAGGGTTAAGAGCATCTATGAGCTGGATGCTCCTCCCAGTGACACTTCCTAGCAGAGTCGTAGGTGGGTAGATGTCAGTTTCAGGTACCTCTCCATGCAGAAATGCTGGTGACTTCACAGTAGTTGTCCTCCATTCCTATGTCAAACAAAGAACTCATTTAAACATGGGTTCTTTACCTCGTCATTTCCTTCCTTGGTATATTAAGCCATCATGGGCAGTGAATCTGGCTTATGAAAATTGGACTTATTTGATAACGGAAGTGATATGTAGTCTCTTTTCATGGCTTTGACTGAACTTGGAGATGAAAGACAGCCTGGAGTCATGATCTCTATAGCCACATCTAGGCTAGTGCAGTTAGTCTTGCTTAGAACTTTCTGAACACTCTGGCTCCTGTACTCTGGTCTGGATGACCTGGGGCAGTCAGTTTTCATTGAGTGCTGAGACGGGCAGGGAATAGGACTGGCTGGGCTTTCCGGACCTCCTGAGATCCCTCTAAAAACTGAACTTCTTTTACTTCTGCTGAGAATTCTCAGCCATGTGCCTTGAAAAATCACATCCCAGCATGTCTATCATAGTATTGTAGTGCCTGCTACTGGAAAGGAATGCCATTTTAAAAATGTATTTATTTATTCTTCTCTCTTATATTACATCCAGACCACAGTTTCCCCTCCTGCCTCTCCCACCAGCTCCCCTCTCCTCTGATCCATTTCCCTTCAGAAAAAGGCAGGCCTCCCAGGGATATCAACCAAGCATGGCATATCAAGTTGCAATAAGATTAGGTGCCCCCCCCCATATTAAGGCTTGGATGAGGCAACCCAGTAGGAGGAAAAGGTTCTCCAAAGCAGGCAAAAGTCAGACGGCCCCCACTCCCACAAGAAGACCAAAGTACACAACCATAACATATATGCAGAGGGCCTAACATGCATGTAGGCTCCCTGATTGTCAGTTCAGTCTCTGTAGAAATGCCATTCTTGACCCATTTACCGGCCCTGTCTTGCCTTTGTATTTCAGTGTTTAGAGGTCCAGGGGGAAGGACTTGTAGGGACATCTCTATCTCGGTTGCTTTCCCAGATGTTGCATGGCAGTTGTAAGCCATGACCTTTGGACTCTGCTCAGTACTGTTTTCCTGAACAGACATTTAATGAGCTGTATTATTAGTGTGTGCCAATGAAACATCAAATTGAGACTCTTGTTCCATGGAGTATATATACAGAGTTGCTAAAGGCAGTCACCAGTAGCATCTTCCTGTTTCTGCTGCTTTGTTTTGTTTGTTTGTTTGTTTGTTTTGTTTTTTGAGACAGGGTTTCTCTGTGTAGTTTTGCACCTTTCCTGGAACTCATTTGGTAGCCCAGGCTGGCCTGGAACTCACAGAGATTCTGCTGCGTTTTTATCTGAACACCACCGAAGCGTTTCACCAAGTATAGACTCGGCATTCCTCCTGTCCTACTGTCCAGTTGTTCCTGCACTCAGTCCTTCTGCCAAACTATCCTGATTGCTGAAGTAGCTCAAGAGATGTTTGCAGGTTGAATGTTCGGATTTACAGACCTGATGGCACATGACTTTTCCTGGGAAGACATTAACAGATGTCTCTTCACCCTGCACTAATGACAGCGCAAAGGATGTTACTTACATGAGCGTGGGTGGCGGTTTACTTACAGAGCATGAGCAACTCAAATGCGGATGCATCACTGAAAAGCCTATCCAGTGGGGGTGACCACTCAAAAAGCTGCATACCCAGAGCTCCCTGAACAACATGCAGGCAGCTTGGCTGACATGAAAGTCTCCTCTTCCTAGCCATTGTTACTCCTCATATAACTCTGAGAGGGTGTCTGTGTTTGCTTTTCTATTGCGGTGATAAAAAATCATGACAGAAAGTAACGTGGAGAGGAAAGGGTTTATTTCACCTTACACCTTACAGTTGTAGTCCATCATGAAATAAAGTCGGGGCAGAAACTGATGGCAGAAACCTGGAGGCAAGAACTGAAGCATGGATGAATGATGCTTACCGGCTTGCTCCTCATGGCTTCCTCAGCCTGCTTTCTTATACAACCCAGGACCATCTGCCTAGTTGTGGCACTGCCCACAGTGGGCTGCGCTCTCCCACGCCAATCATTAACCAAGAAAATAACCTACAGACTTGCCTATATGCCAATTGGATGGAGGCATCGTCTCAATTGAGGTTCCTCTTCCCAGATAAACTCTGGCTGTGTCAAGCTAACAAGCAAAACAATATGCAGGCCAAGCTAATAAAACAATATGCAGTTAACCAGGACAGAAGGAGGGCTGTGAGTCTTCTAAGTTTCAGAAGCTGGCCCAGCCTCATGGAGTTTCTGAGACTTGTGAGTCAACCCCTTCCCCCTAGGAGGGGATGTTTCAATTCTGAGAATACTTAGACAACACACGAGGATGGCACTGACATCGAACTTTCAGCCAAACCAAAAGGCAACGGTCTTACCATATTAAATCTATCAACTCGACCATACTGAGTGACATTATATGTTGGCTTGTGTGGACTGGCCCTCACTACTTCGCCAGTATTCTCCCCACCCCGGAGGTGGCTCCGAGCTTTGCTCTCTGCTAATTTTCTTCTGTTTGAGGCTCTGGCATGATCAGTACTGTTTTCCACCTTTGAACCCTTGCCCTGAAGATCCCTGCATCCAAGTTTTCACTCAAATCTAGTTTTCAAGAACCGAGTGATGGAATTGGATCCAATAAGCATTTAATTCATGCTCTATTTATTTATAGTTTTGAAAAGGGGTCTTTCTATGTGGCTCTAACTGGCCAGAATTTACTATGTAAACCAGGCTGGTCAGGAACTTGCAGTGATCCTCCTGCCCTAGCCTCCCTAGAGTGCACAGGCTGAGGTCTGCACCACCATGACCCACTATTTACACAATTTTAATACTATAATTTTAATATTTTTCTTCTGTCCATTCCTCCACCTCTTGCAGTCCATATTCTTCTGAAGTAAAAGTTGATAATTTTTTAAAAAAGATTTATTTATTTATTATGTATTCAGTGTTCTGCTTGCATGTGTCCCTTCAGGCCAGAAGAAGGCACCAGATCTCATTACAGATGGTTGTGAGCCACCATGTGGTTGCTGGGAATTGAACTCAGGACCTCTAGAAGAACAGCCAGTGCTCTTAACCTCTGAGCCATCTCTCCAGCCCTGATAATATATTTTTAACTTCCTGTCATATTAATAAAGCTTTCTTTCCTTTGTACTGGACTGGTTGAATTATTCAGCATGATTCTTACTGCCATTAGGGTTTATTGTTTGTTTGTTTATTTTGTTTTTCAAGACAAGGTTTCTCTGTGTAACAGCCCTAGCTGTATTGGATCTTGTTCTATAGACCAGGCTGGCCTCGAACTCACAGAGATCCGCCTGCCTCTGCCTCCCCAGTGCTGGGATTAAAGGTGTGTGTGCCCTAAAGTGTTAGTCAAGAGACTAACCTCTCCTATAGTGGGCTCTTATCAGGAGCTTTTGGATTCGAGCTTTTTCGACTCAAAATCTGAAATACTTCTCTATACCGTTTCTTAACTGGGTCGGCTCCCCGCCCTTCTGCATTAAACCATTGGGTTTCTAAGTCTTCTGCCTTGGGAGACAGAGGCAGGAGGATCTCTTTGAGTTTGAAGTTAGCCTGGTATAAGTATCAAGTTCTGAGACCAGGCAGGGGTACTTAGTGAGACCTTGTCTCGAACAAGAACACACACACACACACACACACACACACACACACACACACACACCAGAACAAAACCCAAAAAACCACCCAACCATGAAACAATGAAACATCCAACAATTTCCTTCAGAAAGAGGTGAAGCCAGGGCGATATAACGACGGAGAACGTTCCAGCTCTCTATCTAGTCCTGCCTGCTGCGTCTTGCTCAGGTTCCCATTACCTTCAGGATACCTGCCCCGGGTCTTTGGCAGGAATGCCCTTCTTTTAGTGACCGCGGGGCCCGAGTCTACAAACTTGCACTTCATAAACGCTGCAAGTGGTGGGGTCGGACAGTCACCTCAGTAGCCTGGAGACCGAAGCAGGAGGGTTGCCACAGGTTCGAGGATAGCTAGGACTGAGGTGTGAGACACTGTCTTAAAAAAGAACAAAACTAGCCGGGCGGTGGTGGCGCACGCCTTTAATCCCAGCACTCGGGAGGCAGAGCCAGGCGGTTCTCTGTGAGTTCGAGCCAGCCTGGGCTACCAAGTGAGCTCCAGGAAAGGCTCAAAGCTACGCAGAGAAACCCTGTCTCGAAAAATAAAACCAAAACAAACAAACAAACAAACAAAGTCCTGCAGGAGCTCAGGGCTCTCGAACCCGATAAGCAGCGGGGAAGCGCAAACACCGGCGGGAATCACAAAGACACAGCCTACAGGGCGCCTGCGCGCCCGCTCAGACAGCAAGTGGCGCGAGCGCCCACGCCGATTGGCTGACAAAAGCCGGCACTCCAGCCAATGAGAGCGTTCCTTGTTGAGCGTGCGGCGCGCAGGAGTCTGGGTGCTCCGGCCGTTGCCGTGGAGACGCCGGGCGAGTTCCGGGGAGTCGGGTTTGCGGGTGGCCCCGGGGTGTTCGCGCGGCTGCGGTGAGCCGGAGGAGGTGGAACCACGCGGGAAGGCCGCGGCTCTCGGCATCTTCACGGCCGCGGGGCCGAAGCCAGGCCGGAGACCCGCCGGCACCGGACCAGGCCTTCTGCCCATGCCGGCGACTCCCGCCGCCGCCCCGAGGTGCCCTGGGTGGGTCACGGAGACTGCAGCGCGAAGCCATCCCTTTCTGTGCGTCCTTTCACTCACCTTCACCGCAGCCCAGCGAGGTGAGTGTGGTACTCGTGCCATTTACAGGGCGTGGAAACGGAGGCCGAGGGGAGGTTCTAAATGATTGCAAAGTTCCCGGCGCGGCTTACACCGGCTGCAAACCATTCCTCTCAACAGCCTCCCTGGAGGAGGCAAGGAGATCGACTTCACCCGCCACCCCCGGTTTCTGCACCTGTGGATTTGGGAGCTGCTTAACGCTTCAAGACTTGACTTCTCCTAGGTCAGGAGTGTGGCCAGGTGAACTCTATGAGGCGAAAGTTCCTTCTCTGTGATTCATTACTTTGTTTAGAAATAGAATTTAGAATGGTCTCCTTCAGGGGCTGGCAAACTCTTGTAAATTTAACAAGAACAACAATACTTTTAATGATGTTTTAGATTTGGGGTGGCTATACTCTGGGTCTCTGTGAGTTCAACCTGGTCTACATAGTGAGTTCCAGGACAGTCAGAGTTGCATAGTGAGACTCTCTGATGAGCCACCGGGCAAAAGATTAGGCGCCACCATTGCTTATCTATCACTGGATTACAGTGCTGAGGGGCTTAAAGTACTTTTCTTTATCATGTGACATTGGGC